TCGTGCGCCGCCAGCCATAGGAACTGCTTCACACGTTGAGGGTCGACCCAACCCCATATCTGTTTCCACAAACGACGGTCAGGGGCCTGCTCTGGCGGTGCTAGCGAAACATACGTTGACCTGGTCGTAAACATGCCGTTAGACGACCATCCCCAAAACATGCGGTCGTGCCCTGCCCCGGCCCGAGGTGGCAAAATGGCCGAAATGCGTAGAAGATCCGAGGGCTGTAGAAGATAGGAAATCTTTGCCAATCCCATTGACCTATTTCGTTGACGTACCTGGAGACGGAACAAGCTAATTATTCCTCTGGTAAAACTCCCCGAACACGATGAATTAAGGCACTCGATAAATTTAACCAATTATCCCACCAAAAAAGAATACTAGTCCCATCTCCTATTGACCACCGTGTCCCCTTAACGACATGTGGCCATACGCGGGCAATTGCACGCATGACCTCCGATCCCGTCAAGCAATTAAATTCAACCGGCAGAGCACGCGATTGGAGATTATATTTGGCACAAAGAACCCGTAAACCCCACGCGAGTTTCATAAGAAGAGCCACATTCATACGTCTTTGGTTTTTTAGACCCAGCCCACCCTCCGTCTTCGGCGAACATAGATAATTCCAACTAACGAGGTGGACCTTTCGTTCACTGCTTGAGCTACCCCAAACAAATCTACGACAAGCCTTCTCTAGTCCTTCACAGACCGTCGACGGGATCCATGCAGTTTGCATGGAGTAATAAGGCAGACTGCTCACCACTGCCTGTGTTAAGGTGATTCTGCCCACCATCGACAACGATGAAGCTTTCCAACCAGCCAGACGATTCTCTGCCTTCTCCAGGATGCCCTCGTAAGTATGCTTCGTAACCCGTCCGTGAATAATGGGCATGCCGAGGTACTTACCCAGGTTCTCAACTCTTTAGAATCCGGTGCTGTGAGCAAGGTTATGTTTGACCTGCTCCTCTACATTCGCCGAAAAGAAAATGCTCGTTTTAGCCACACTAATCTTCAATCCCGAGGCATTACAAAAAGTCGATAGCACTTCATTAAGCACATCTACTTGATCGGTTGAGGCTTCCATGAACAACAATAAATCATCTGAAAACATGAGATAAGGAATAGTCACATCCCCTCGGCCGGTCACAATCGGGTGCCTCGCACCTTGGTCCACCCTAAGGTTAATAAGGTGAGCCAGCCTCTCCATTGCCAAGACGAAAAGATACGGTGAAATAGGGTTGCCCTGACGCATACCCCGCGAGGGGGTGAATTCCTCCGAAATGGTACCATTAAACTGGAGTTGCATGGAGGCTGAAGTGATACATGTAATAACCCCACGAACAAAAACATCTGGTAAACCCGCTATCCGAAGAGTCTCTTCAATAAAATCCCAACGAAGATAATCATAGGCCTTCTCCAAATCCACCTTTACCAGGAAATAGCCCTTCCGTCCCTTCTTAGTTCGCATAAGGTGTACTAGTTCTTGAGCTATAACAATGTTATCCGAGATTTTCCGGCGAGGCACAAAGCTCACTTGGGCAGGCCCAACAATATGCTTCAGCAAGGGTTTTATTATGTTGGCAAGGATCTTAGTCGCCAGCTTGTACACCACATTAAGCAGGCTAATTCGTCGAAACTGGGTGATATTTTGGGGATTATCCACCTTGGGGATCAACACAAGAAGGATTCTATTCACGTTTGGGGGCATGACTCCTTCTTTTAATATCCCACGAATCAAACGACGAACCGAAGCACCCACACTGTCCCATTTTTGTTGAAAGAAAATCGCGTGAAGCCCATCTAGCCTCGGGGCCTTCAAAGGGTTCATGGATCGAAGAACAAAGGATATTTCAACTTTCGATATGTCTCTCGCCAAAGGCACAACCTGACTAGGATTGAGCGAAGGGAAACGTCTTGAGATTAGGGCCGGTTGAGCTAGTCGGGGAACCGCCGAGTATATTTTCTGGAAAAACTCGACTGCCAGGCACCAAAGAGAATTTTGGTCCTGACACCATTGCCCGTCGTTGTCGAACAGACCCACGATTTTATTTTTACGGCGTTGCGCCTTAATCTTTCGGTGAAAAAACGCCGTGTTCTTATCGCCAAACAACGACCAGTCACGTTGTGATATTTGGATCAAGAGGATTTCTTCCTGCATGGATACCTCTTCCAGTGCAACACTGAGCTCACGTTCGAGAGATAGCAAGCGGTTAGTGACCCGACGTTGCAAGGCCCGTTGAACGCCTAAAATCCGTGCCACTAGCCGTTTCTTTCGTTTAAATACATTCCCAAAAACATAATAGTTCCACTCTTTAGCTACGGTCGAGAATCGGTGAGCTGCCTCCACAAATTCCGAGCTCCCGGAACATGCTTCCAAGACAATACGATTGAAGTCCTCATGTGTTAGCCAAGAAGCTAAAATTGGAAGGGTTGCGGGCCCGATCGATGAAGGGCAGCCGAATCGCACTGAATCAACAGTGGTGTATGGTCAGACTTTAATCGAGGAAGGTGTGACACTATACTGCTCCCAAATTTGTCCAGCCAGGCTTCATTGGCAATGGCTCTGTCAAGCTTTTCGGCCACGGCACCCCAAAACCAAGTATAATTATAGCCATCAGTACGGACCTCTTGAAGTCCATGATCAAAAAGCAAATTACCGAAATTATCACTCATGTTGAAGAAATGAGAAGAACTATCTCTATTCCGACAGCATTAATAAGCAATTCCAATCTCCACTGAGAAGCCACGACCCTGAAACGACGACGCAATAGTGCTTAGCGGTCCCCAGAAAACAGGTCTTCTTCATTTGAATAAAGGTGTGGATAAATTGTAGGTGACATCCGAGAACAGTTACATCCACCCACTCTCTCCATAGTAGCCAAATCCCACCAGAAAAACCTCTCGATTCCACCCGTTACGATCGGTCAAAACCACTGCGTTTCCCAAAGGTATCTGCATCGCCTCCACTGGTTCGTGGTTCAAACATGCCAACAACGTCTGGTTTATATTCAGACATGAGATTAAGGAAAGCTTGGCGAAAAACAACCGAGCCCGCTCCTTGTACATTCCAAGTGTTGACCTTCATTAAAGAAACGATGTGGAGAGAGAGGGTGACACCTGTCAGATACTGCCCGGGACACTCGTGTCCTGAGTGGAATCCTCCATCATAATCGCATCCATGCTCCCACAGGCTGCCTCATCCACATTTTTGTCACCCACGGCTCCTGACAAAGGGTCAGAAATGGGGATTGGTGTAGGGTCGACCGCCATTGCTGCATTAGTAGATAATCCACCCCAATCGGACCCGAGAAGTTCCGGTTGTGTTTTTTACGTGGACTGTCAACGATATGGACTACCTTGTGTTTCATAGGATCCAGGCCACTACCAGCTACAACGAACAACACCTGACCCTAGGCCATGCTCGACACTTGATGCGACGAAAATTCTGATTCCCTGTTCTTGTTCGCATTTCCGACTCTCCCTTTTCCTTTGTTTGAAGCCTCAGAAACATGTCTGGGCTCACTGACAGCCCCATTACTAGCTAGATTCTTGGAGGTGGAAGCGTGTCGATCATGTGAACTGGCGGATTGCTTACCCTTGTCCTTGTTCTTCCTATCTTACCCTGTGGCCTAGCAGCAGTAGATGCCAGGGGATTTTTAGCATACTGATCCCCTCCCATAGAGAAAGAGAAAGAGTTGTGAGGCAGTGACTTGTCATGGGCTAGCCCATTATCTCCACTGTCACCCGACAACACGTTAAAGCGGGAGCCATTGGTTTGGTCATTCTCTTTTGCACGTTGAGCTTCTCGTCGAGTGTGCCCCTACCGAGAGTTACCTCTGGTCTTATCCAAAAGCCAAGGTCCATACAATTTGTCATCGCGGTCCGTCCCCTCCGTTGTACCCCGCTCCCCAGTATCCTTGGACTCGCCTCCTGGCGGTGAGAGATTGCCTTAAGGAGCTTCCAACGTCTGTACGCCATTGCCGGTCTTCACGGGGCGATCAGGACATAGTGGCGCGGCATGCCCGTACTTCCCACATTCAAAACAAATGTCCGGTAAGTTCTCATATTCCACACGTTGTGTTTTACCTCTAATGTTAAATCGAGCGCAAACGGGCTTTGTTAAGTCGAGCACCACTGCGAGTCTAGCAAACTTTCCCCTAGATTGAGACATGGTTTGATGGTCTGTCTTTAACACTTTTCCTCACAATGTTACCGATGACACGAAACAGTTTCGTATGGTACAGGTGTACCGGCATGCCCGGCAACCGTATCCAGGTGACAAGGGAGCGAATTTGGTTGCTTGACTCGTCAAACTCATCACTCCTAGGTTGCACGTGGACATAGAACTTCTTAAATTGTATGGAGATGACCCAAGGGCCACCCACCGGCACTTGGTTCGCCTCCTCCTGCGTGTTGAAACGGATTTGAAAGTATCCGTTTTCCAAATCGATCATGGTACACCCCGTCATAAAGGGCCACAAACCCACCAATTTAGTATAAAGCAGATGAGGGTTGACGTGGTACCCATAACTTTGACAATGACCACATTCTTCCACGACCGAAGGAGGGAGTCATAGGAGTCCTTCAATTTGATATCCGACACATCGAATTGACAGTCGACAGTAACATCCTCGTCAAAGGACGCCTCACCTGCTTCATCATCCTTCATCTCCATGTGGGCCTGATTGTTACTCAGCATATCCCAGAAGCTCAAACGCGGCGGGGTCACCGACGGCCGTTGGGTCTCGACGACACTTCCATCTTGTGGTTCACTAGAGATTTCACGGGTACGGGTTCTCTTTAGGGCACGAGTCGATGCAGACGACGGGGGTTAGCAGTGTGTAACGCCGGGAATTCTTGCACACCGTCAGATAGATCTTCGGGCCAATCGGGTGGAGAACGGCATTCATAATCGCAAGGGTTTCGTTCATTCTTCTCTTAAAGTTATATTAGTTTTAGAAGACAATTTTAAAAACAAACCTTTAATATGTTTATTTAGTCCAACAGTTATCCTTAATATGTTTTTGGTTGTAAGACAATAAATGCATTTTTACAAACTTAGCATTAAAAAACACCCGAGAAGCAAAGGGAAAATAATGTCCGTATATCTCAAACACAAAACTATAATAAAAAAAATGCTTGCACAATCAAAAATCCGATTGAAGATTGAACATAGAAAGGCAGAAAGCAAGAGAATTGAGCATAAGAGACAACAAGTGGTTGTGATGATCATCACTTGTCTGCCTTGGCAGCAGTGGCAGCAGCTTGTCCACGGAGACGACCAGTCCTTCTGGCAGCAATGAGACCCACTTTCTTCCCCGGAGGAGCATCACGCCGCACAGTGCTCGCATGCCCAATGTGCTGGTGGTTACCACCGCCATGTGGATGCTCAACAGGGTTCATAGCCACACCACGCACCTTCGGCCACGAGTTCCTCTTCACTCTGAACTTATGGTACGCATTTCCAGCTTTCAGCATCGGCTTCTCAGTACGCCCACCACCAGCAACCTGCCCCACCATGGCACGGCAACCACTCGGCATGATTTTCTTGGCTCCTGATGGCAGCTTCACCCTGCCACCAAAACAAACCCAAGAGTTTGAACGAATTTTAGGTCCCAAATTGAAATTCTATTTAACAAATTTTCACTAAAACCCTTACTTAACTTACAAATGAATTTGAACAAAAGCTAACAAAATCATGGAAGAACATAGGTATATGTCACAGAAAGAAATGCCTAACAAATGAATTTTCAATTAACTGAAATAGAAAGCATATTCTACCTAGTAGTGTCATTATCTGGGTTGTGGGAAATAACAATAGCGTAATCCCCAGAAGCCCTAGCGAAAACCCCTCGGTCACCCACGTGATGCTCCACGTTGCAGACAACGGCACCCTCAGGGATAGATCTGAGTGGGAGGACATTGCCGACCACAAGATTGGCCTTCTTGCCGCAGTAGACGAACTGGCCGGTATACATGCCCTCGGCGGCCACGAAAAGCTCCTTCTGATGCTGGAACCGGAATGGGTGGCGGAAAACAACGCGGGCGAGAGGCGCTCCGCGGCCAGGGTCGTGGATGATCTCGGTGACCACGCCCTTCAGGTAGCCGTTGCGCTCGCCGAAGTCGAGGGACCGGAAACGAGCCGGGCCCTTGCGGTGGTGGGTGTGGGACTTGAACACGGATCCAGCTCCCTTACGCTGTGCACGGATAACACGACCCATCGCGCCAGCTGCTCTGTGTGTGTGTGTGTGACACGAGGAGGATGACGGCAGAGTAGCAGTATGGTGAAATGAAAATGGGATAGAAATTAGGTTTTATAGAATTTTGGGCTTCAGCCCAGACGGAAATTTAATCACAGGCCCAGCTTCTTAGTCAAAAAACTAGGATTTAATTACACTTTCCAACGTTTTTAAATTAATATTTATATTAATAATATAACTCATCAACAAAGTTAAAACTGAAATTTATATGTTTCCATTTTTGTACACGTAAGTTCTTCCCGTAATTTCTGTTCGTAACTTCTACATATTTTCCTCTTTTTTATTTTATTTTTTTCTTCTATTTTTTTTCTCTTTCCTCTTTCTCCTTTTCTTTCNAATATAGGAAAGGTACAAAGTCCAAATACATAACGGGAAAAACCCAAATAGCCGAGGGCATAAACCAGAGAGAACTACATAACTAAACGTGTAGCCTAGAAATCCAAACAAACGAACATACAAAACCAAAGGCAGTACATACACTGAAACATGCAGTTTTAATACCACCACAACTCACACTCTAACAGTCCACAAATATGAAAGAAACAACACAAAACTCCTCAACCACTGAACTTCTCCAAGGAACAGACCTAGCTCAGGATCTGTGTTTACCTTCTAGAAACCTCTTCCAACTGATAAGCTTCCAACCATTCTCCTACTGCTGTTTTAATTGTACCAATCTCTGACCTCCAAACCTTCTCAAACAACCATAGGTTTCTTGATTTCAAAGTCACCACAGTATATAAGTGGTGAGTTCTATCCTGACTCAAGAAACCTTAGACCCATCTACACTGCAATTCATTCCCCACCACTCATCAAATATGCCATTGTCATGTTTCAACCCATCCCAGTTGAGATGAGCATGTTTCCACTCTTCTGGCTCCTTCACATTTGAAAAAAACATGCTCAGTGGTTTCTTCTTCCAGCCCACAACCATGACACATAACAACAATAACAAATCTTTTCCTCCTCACATTCACATCAACAGACAGAGTACCAGAAAAACATTTCCATATAAAGTGTTTGATTTTACCTTTTACCCGTATCCACTAACTTCTCAATCTCACCTTCTTGCTTCCCCCAATTTCTCTTCACCGAGAAAAACATTACTCTACTACAGCACTCATTATGGATTCCACAACTATTGTTCGGAATGCCACTTTTACACTGCAATACACAATTATTTTTGTACACAAATGACTGACTACAAAAGTCTTTCTCATCAAAAAAAGCAAAAGACTGCAAAACAGAAAAACGAACAGGAAAACATACATAAGTTCTTGTCGTCGCCGGCATGAACTGCAGTTGTTCGAAAAGGTAAGGGCAAAGTATTGAATTGATACCAAAATATTCGATCTGAAATTATTTAACCAAAATATTGAAAATTTTGTTAAGAAAATGTATGAAGAATAAAGTGTTTTTCCTAAAATGTGCAATAGATTAATACCAAAACAATTGTATTGAATAATGCAATCAAATTTTCAAGATTTTGAAAAATAAAATCTTGCGTGCTTTTTAAAAGATATCGTATAAACATTAAATATGCATTAATTTTTATTCCAAAATAATTGATCTGAAATTAACTTACCAAAATCGCGGTAAATTTATTAAAAAAAAATTAGAATCCACAATTTTAGGGTGAGATCAAATTTTAAAAAGTTGCGCATGACTACTCCATATAAAATGAAGTGTAATTGTTTTGAACCGATTTTTTTCCTTAATAATTACAACCAAATTTGTGTCAAAATATCTTGAAATTTAGTAATCACATTGTTTTTTCCTAAATAAATGCAACCAAGATTTGTTTCAAAATATATTGAAAGTCATTAATCACCTTATTTTAAAAAGAAATACTAGATTAGTAAGCCAGCCATTTATTTTTCTAGTCAAACTTATTATTTAAGTATTTTTCAAACAATCTTATTATATATATAGATATATAGTTTGTATGAGAAAAAAAAATAAAAAAAAAAGCTAAATAATTATTAAGTTTGAAAAAAAAAAAATAATATGTAAATGNATATAATTATTTTATATTATCTTACAATCTATAAACAAAATACTATAATTTAAGCTACAATTGAATTGTGGTAGTTTTGACATAATTATATGTAATTTCAATTTTTGGTATCCCATAAAAATTATGGAATGATATTTTTTTAAAATAATTTTTAAAAGGAAATACAAAATTTTTAAATAAAATAAGAATATTTGGCATGAATTTTAATGTCTATATCTAGACCTTCTTCTCTTTAGTAATCAGTGTTTTATAATGTGTATAGCGTAGTGCGTCGTGTTTTGACCTTTATATTGCGTAGCTTAATAGCGTTGCGTGTTGCGTAAGCTATTTGAATATAATTTTTTTTTATAAAAATATTATTAATATATTTTTATATAATAAAATTGGATGTTTATTCCAAAAATTATCATAAAATTTTAATGAATTCAAAAAACATGTAAGAATTATTTCTCAAAAATGTTTAATGTAAATATCGTAATATAAATATTTAAATAATAAATCGAATATACTAAAAAGTAAAAACAAGCAACAGAAATCTATAAATATTGAAAGAGGTTGTCGGAATAATCTAAAATAGTAACTTTGACTTTGTAATTGAATTAGTTAACTTTTTTTTTTTTCAAAACAATATATTTTATTATAAACCACACAAATTTACAAGAGTACAACCACCAGCTGAATACAAACAGCCAACGGCTGAATACAAACAGCCAATAACTGAATAAAATGGGAGGACAGTCTGAAGACCGCCTAAAACGGGGTAATACTCACTGACACAAAAACAATAACATAAAAACTACGAAATTAAAAGACCCCAACAGGGTAATATATACCCAAGTGTCTGACCCCAACAGGGTAATAAGTTGACACTCGGGCTCACATGGGCCAACGGCCCAAACCAGAAACACAATTCCTAATACAACACAACACAAACAAAATACAAAACAGACAAATAATATGCTAAAACACCCTTCCCCAACAAATAAGACGGATCGAAACCAGTTGAGGAACAATCAATCCAAGTAATTGGATCTGAAGTCCCAGGCTCAACTTCCGAAAGTGCTGCCGAACGCCTATACAGAAGCTAAACCGGGATCCCGATACTAACCCGAACTAATCCACCTTCGACCGAGAGGACAACCAGTCAACACCCGAAGCCGGGCCCATCCAGTTCCCAACACCAGAGAGCCGGAGGGAAAGAAGCTTCCAGTCCTGTTGTTCCTGCACCCCAACAGAGATGTCGGAGGCCCTCGCCATCCTCCTATCAACACGCCTCTCAACCTCCCGCCGGCCACTAAAAACTCGAGCTCAAGCCTCCAAGCTCCGAATCACAGAAACGGAGTGTCGAACCCACCAATCGAGGCCGATTGGCCTATCAGCAACCACAAAGGAGAGCCACCAACCGCCAATTGATGTCCACCATCTCTTTCGCTCCTTGCCGTCGACTTACGAGAGAAAACCAGAGGATCGCCGTAGCGAAGATTCCGGTGAAAACGGCTGCCCGCCACATGGCAGGACCTCCATCTCCCCGGCGCAGAAGACCCCCTCCCGTCGGCACCTTCTCAAAAATCGACGAGCTCGAGTGAAACAACCATGGCAGCAAATATGAGGAGACACGATGTTAGAGATGACCGAGCGGTCTTGGGTGACCACTGTTGTAGTTATTTTTACAGGAGTAGAATCGAAAGATTCGTTCTCGGGTCGTCTCTCAAGGAAGGTCAGCTGGATTATTTGTACGAATATTCAATCACACGAAAAAGGAAATAAATTCCTAAACACTCTAATTCAATGATTTGGGTTTTCAATTATCAACTAATAATTCTCAAAGAATGCAAATAAACAATTATCAAAACTTAAAACGAGTTTCTTCTACGTACGAAGGCTAGGGAATCGGGGATGATTATCGTTCGGCTAAATGATTCAATCAACCTACACATCTAGGGATTATTCCTCAATAACTTCTCGTAACAAGAGGAAAAATATAGACGGCAAATTAAACCAATCAATTAACACGTAGGCAATACAATTATGAACAAACCTACTCTAGTCGAGCCTAGATCGACCGACTTCTCCCCTCTCGGTTCTACAAGTCGATTTATTAGATCAGAATGGTGATCAAGCATCTAACCCTAGGTTTAGATCAACTCGAAAAGATTGAACGAAATTCACAAGCAAGATAAGCACACGAGTATGAGTAATCACCCCCTATCCCAAGCTTAAGAATTTAGCCACTCATGCCAAGATGAACACAAGACATAGTATAAAGTAAATACTCCAAACTCATAATCAAAATGAGAAGAAAGCTTACGATAAATAAAAGTCAAGTGTTGAATCTTCAAGCACAATCCAAATTCACGTTCAAAAATCCTTGGGTGTCACTCCCAAAAATCTCAAAATAAGCAAAGATAAAGAGAACAAGTTTTTCGTCTGATGAAAACAAGAGAAAAAAAATGAAAAGTGCCGAATGAATCCTAAACCCTCTGCTCGATCCCACATAATAACGAACAGATTTTAAATTCAAGTGTCCCAGCGCCGCAGCGCGAGGCTCCACCGCGGCGCGGCAGACGGCTCCACCACGGTGCGAGGCTGACGGCACGGCGCGGCAGGAGTCTTCACCACGGCGCGAAGCGAAGGCACGGCGCGGCAGACGTCTTCGCAGCGGCGTGGCAGCGTCGCGGCTAGGAGAGGCCAGGTACCTAACTCGCAGTCCATGTCGAGGCACTTCTGCGGCGCGGAGCTTCTAATGCAATCACACTGCCGCGGCGCGGCGGCTGGAAAATTGACACTCGGGCTTATTTGTGTTCAAAACCGGGACGTAAGTTGCTCGGGTACTCGATAGTGCTAAGTGCGTTATGCAAAACCTGAACCTGCACACCACCAAAGACGAAAGAAAAACACACGAAAGCAGACCAAAGAGCAGAAAATATCGAAAATAAGAAATAAACGGTAAACACACCATACGAACGACTGGTGGACCAAAAGAACTAAAAGATTCCTAAAAACGGGGGTAGAAACTAGAAATAACCAAAGAAAAAGATAACAAAAATAGGACAAACAACTCCCCCACACTAAGACCTTTATTCGTCCCGAACAAAAAGAAAAGAAAAG